ATTACGATGCCAAGGGGGCTGAATTGAAGATTCAATCATGACTGTAGTTCTTAAGAATGTTATATAATTTGAGAGTTTGGTTTCTTTCTGTTCCTTAGATGTCCTTGTTAACTTTTTGAGAATCAGTAATGACAATGGGGCTCGTAACATGTATGTGGTTGATCCACTAGTCTATAGTACTTGCCTCGTTATGTTTGCTTATAAGGCATTTGCAACCCGTGTGTGATGCTGACATATTGTGGGTTAGAGTTGGGATGGTTTGATTTCAGCAGCTTAATTGCTGTTTTATGTGTGAGAAAAGGTGTGATTTCTCTGGTGGATATTGTTGTGGATAGTTGCATTCTACTTTTATTGCTGATTTTTATTTTCGTATTTGTTGGGGGAATGTAAAGGTTAAACTTGCTCTATGGACTGAACAGTGGATTTATCTCTGAATGTGATAGAACTTTAGCTGATGAAACTGCTTCTGTATTGTGCATGTTTGCAGGCTCCTGTTGCCCCCTTGCGAAGGCCTGATGCCCCTCCTGTTTTTGATCAAGTTTGGCAGAATGATTCCCATGAAGTTGTTGATGAAGACCAATCCCCTGAGCGAGGAATCCCTACAGTTATCACATGGAGCCATGGTGGAAACGATGTGGCAGTCGAAGGATCATGGGACAACTTTTCTTCAAGGTAAGGTTTAGCTACCATCTTAAACATGAAAGATCCGAAAGGAGCAGTTGTTGCTTCGGAGGAAACTTATATGATATCGTTTATTGTTCTGTTGCAGGAAAAAGTTACAAAGATCTGGGAAGGATCATTCTATTCTTTTGGTCCTTCCATCAGGTATATACCACTATAAGTTCATTGTGGATGAAGAGTGGAGATATATTCCAGATCTTCCTTCTGTAACTGATGAAATGGGCCGTGTTTGTAATCTTCTTGATGTTCATGTAAGTATCCTGACATGGCTCTTGGTCTTACAAATCCAGAGGCATTTGATTGTTTAAAAGTCATTACTGCCAATGGTTTTGGAAACTAAATAAGCCCAGAATCATGGGTTTTCAAGGGATATGTTCAGGATGCACTTGAAAAACTGGGATTTCATGCAAACCAGTGATGTGAAACATGCTTTTTATTTGTCATATGGGAGCTAGCAACACGAATTCTGCTTCCTCTATATGCATATATAACCAAGATCTTGCTAGATAAATATTTTCCCTACTAATATTCATGTATGAGGAAGAAATACAAGACTTCTTGGTCCAAAGAACCATTTTTTAGTGTCTGGAAAAATTGCAAAAATAATACATGTATTTGTTAATGATTAGATTTGTAAGTTCCTCTTGCTATTTCTTGCAGGATTTTGTGCCAGAATATATTGATAGTGCAGTTGAGTTTGAGGCCCCACCATCTCCAGACTCCACTTACAGTCAAGCATTTCCAGCTGAGGATGATTTTGCGAAGGATCCTTTAGCAGTTCCACCGCAGCTAAATCTAACAGTCCTCGATGAAGCTTCTTCTTCCAAGCCTCAACATGTTGTGCTGAACCACCTTTACATTGAGAAGGGATGGGCATCTCAGTCTCTAGTTGCTCTTGGACTAACCCATAGATTCCAATCCAAGTATGTAACTGTTTGTCTTTATAAGCCACTCAGAAGGTAGCACCCTCCCACTTTCCATTCATGACTCTGAAGGAAAGATGATCGCTTTTGTAATATGGTTTGTTCTGAGATTTCTCTGTTTATAGATTTTCTCTACTTCTGCCTGTTTTGTTTCTTGTAGTTAACTTTCATTCTTTTGAAGCGCGCCTGCTTCAATATTATTATCAGGAAGGTCCACACATAGTTTGAAAATGAGTAAAACATAAATTGGTCATCAGATTCTTTTGTTTGAACTATTGGATGTAGTCCTTTAGGGGAGAGTAGTTCTAAGGTTCAAACTTGAAATTCAACCTAAGCTACTTCTAGGCGAAGAAAAAACTAACTCTTACCCTCTGGCTACTGACTCTTCTAGCTGACGATATTGGCTCGGTAAAGATATGAATTACCTTGTTTTCAGGCTTTTTGTTTATAAGAAGTGATTTTTAAAAAATTATTTTTAAATTTTTTTAGAGTATGATTACTATTATAAAAATTGGTTAATAAAAAATATTTTTTGATCAATAAAAAATATTTTTTAATAAAAAAAAAATAGCTTGATTTGTATAAAAGTATTTTC